TGCTTGAAACACATTAGGGATACCCACAGGACAAAACGTTCTTATCACAGGATGTTGAGCTGTACATGATCCAGCCCAGTGCAGTGCAAAAGAACTTTCTGCTATGATGGAAATGCCCTATATGTGCGCTGTCCAGTGTGGTAACCACCAACCACATGTAGCTATTGAGCACTTGACATGTGGCTAGTATGAATAGGGAATTGAATTTACAATTTTAATTAACTAAAGTTTAAATATAAATAACCGCATGTCATTGGTAGCTACCATGTTGGAAAGCACAGATCTAGCCCCGCCTTCCTCTCCAGCCTTACCTAGCATCATGTCCCGCCTTGCTCTCTGCCCATTAGCCTTCTTTTGGTCCCTCCCAGCCATGCTCTCTCTCACCTCAGGACCTTTGCACATGCACTTTTCTCCACCTGGAATCTCTTCCTTCCTGAACTCTTTGTCTGGCTAATGCCTACTTCTCCTTCAGACCTCAGCACAAATGGTACTCTCACAGACAACATCATCAGATGAATTCAGGTTTCCCTCCCAATTCTCCCTTCAGCTCTGAAGCTATTCTGTTCTCTTGCACCTTGTCCTCCTTTGCACCTGTTTATCTGGAGCCTGACTTCCTGCTAGGCTCTTCCCAGGCCTTACCCCAGGCTGGACTTGGCTTGCTAAATCTTGGCAGCTGACAGTTCTGCGGTGAATTTCAGTGTGGCCCCAAGTCTTCCCTCCATCCCTCATCTGCTTCCCTGGTCCTCCTCAGACAGATCCTGGTGACATCCTGAGCTTCCCCAGAGCTCCCCAGTCACTACTCTGGCCAACCTGGCTGCCCCCATCCTGCCCTGCTCCATCCAAGATCCTGCCCCACCCCCAAGTGAGCTCCCAGCATGCCTTACTTCAAAGTGCACTGGTACAACCACTTGAAGTAGATGGCTTGGGCAGAGCCTTCCCCAGCTGCACAAATGGGGGTTAGGTTCCACTCTTAACAGCAATGTGTGCAGGCCAGAACTATGATCTGGTTCCTGGTTGGAGATGGGGGATCCAGTGGGCAATGAGGACCTGTCCATGACACCCAGACTCTCCCCTTGCACACTCTGGCTGGAAGCCAAAGAGTCATAATCCCACTGCCATGTCCCTCGGGAAGCTGAGAAGGTCCACGTGCTTATTCCCCAATGCCTGTCCTGTGCGTGTCAAGTCTGGTTCATTCACTGTCTGGAAGAAGAGTCAGGCAGAGGAAATGGGCACCCCGAGCTGTGCCACCTTCTCTGCAATATACATGGCTGGATTAGGATGTTTCCCTGACTCATAGATGGGGCTGGACCAAGATGGCATATGGAGCAGGATGGAGACAAGGAGTGGTCATGGGTGGCCCCTAGCAAGTCATCCCTTCCCCTCTGAAGAAGTAGTACTTCCCAGTTTCTCCTCTGTCTCTGTCAGTTCCTCTAGGCTGCCTATTTGGACTCAGGGGGGCAAGGTCTAGATCTTGGGCCACCAGGAAGACCCTGGATGGGGGGCCATCTCTCCCACTGCCATCATGTTGACGCATAGACACACTTCAGACAGGAGGGCTGCCCTGGAGAAAACACTGACGAGCAGGCCAGCTCCTGTGTACTCAGCACCTACTGCTGGCCAGGCACTCTGCTTAGCATTTTTGGTGCTGTATCGCATTTAATCTTCCCACGAACTCAGAGCAGGAAACTCTTTCATTATTCCTATTTCACAGATGTGGAAATGGAGGCCAGAGAGGCTACATAACTTTCCCACCGTCAGCTAAAATGTGCTAGACCTGGAATTTGAATCAATTTCTATTGGACTCCAGAGTCATAAAAACACACAGGAGTAATTTAAGCCATGGATGTGAACAGAAGTCTTTTGAGAGAGGGGAGATAAAAGAAAGCAGGCCGTGAAAATGGAGAGAGCAACGATGTGGAAGAGGGAGGGGTGAAGGGTGGTGTGAGACTCACTGTTCTCATCACGTGTTGCCCCCAGAGTCAGAGGCCACCGGGGAAGGTGAGCGTGCCAGTGGGAGGGAGGTGCGTTCTCAGGCACCTGTCCTCCTCCACACGCTGGCTCCTAGGAAGGTCATGTAGCATGGGACAGAGGGGTGCAGAGAGTGTCATGGAAGGACTTCTTAAGTCCTTCTGGTCAGAGGCTCCACCCAGGGTGCCCAAATGGGCCTCAAGGGACAGATCCTTGCAAAGGTGGGCATTTATCATTTTTATGCCTACGTTCAGATCACTAATAAGGAAGTAATAATATTGCCAAGCTTTTACCATGCTCTCCAGGAGCTAGCGAGAAGACTAATTATCTGACGACACTAATAAATGGTTATGATGTTATTAAAAATGGCACCACGCTAGGATTAATAGGCGCATCAATGGTAGGGAATTGGATTTAACAAGGTCCTGCAAGGGCTGGTGGCCTTGATGGACCAGGCTGCCTGAAGCAGCGCCTGGCCACATGCAGGCGAGGGAAGAGGCTCCGGTCCTTTCCCCAGCTGAGGTCCCATGAGGAAGGTCTGGCTGCTGCTGGGTTTTTCCACTAACACTCCCTTGAAAATGGCTCTTCAATGCTGTCGGGCCACTGGGGATGCTGCAGATGGCTAGGCTGGCATCAGCCCTGCTCGCCTCTGTACGTGGCCTCCACTCTCCCTGTGACCCCCCTTCCTCACCAGCCCACCTCACTTCTGCAAACGACAGCCTCCGAACCCACCCGGAGCCCTGACCTCAGAGCCCCACTCACAAACACAGGGGGAGCTGATAAGATGGAGATGCCTCTGGGGCCTGCCGACTAATTTCCATAATAATTACAGTTATTACTAATAACAGTGACAACACCACTCCCTTCTGTTTATCCTGAATTCTACAGTCTAGAAGTTGCTTCCCACCAGTGATTGCCTCTGAGTCTCACAACAAGCTGGGAAGAATACAGGGCAGGTATTCTTCTTCTCACTGTTGAGCTGAGGAAGCTGGAGCTAAAGGGACTACCTGACATGCTAGCCTCTAAGGAATAAGGATAAAAATAAAAATAATAATAACAAATACTGATACGTATTGCACTAATATTAACTTACTTTGTCTTCACAACAATCTTATGACATAGGTGCTATTATGAGCATTCCCCTTGTACAGATGAGAAAACTGAGGCACAGAGAGGTTAAGAAATGTGCCTAGGAGCACACTAACTATATGGGAATCAGACCCAGCCTGTGTTCATGCTTTTTACCACTTGCTTCTCCTGTCAAACCTCCACGGGAGCCTGATTTTCTAGGGCCCAGGAAATGACTTCACCGGGTCAGGCTCTGGTGAGATTTTTTGCTCTGAGTTCTGGCCTCCCTCCCCCTGCTCCATCCTCCGATGCCCCTGTATGGCAGTTCCCCTCAGACTGGGGCAAGAGGGCTAACAGAAGGCCCTGATGCTGCCTGCTCCCTACCCTGGAGAGGTGAAGTAATGATAATCCCTAACCTTTGGCTGGCATTTTTCAGATTGCAAAGATCTACTGCATAAGCCTAGCTCTGCCCTGGCTTCTGGGGTTAGGATGGCTCTTTACAGAGGTTGGAGCATAGGGTTTTGGAGGCAGAGAGCTTTGAATCCCAGCTCCATCACTTACTAGCTGGGGGTCTTAACCTCTCTCTGCCTCAGCTTTCTCATCTGTAAAATGGGTGGCAATAACTGTACCTAGCTCACTCAGTTTCTGGAAGGATTAAATGAGAGAAGGGATATAAGACATCTAGTACAGATGTGCTTGCATTCATTTCCATTCTTTGATGGAAAATACTTCCAGAAAGTTGGAGGCTCTAAGCTGGAAGGCAGGTAATGTTGATTATGTGACAGTTGTCCCTGTATAAATGATGCTTCATTTAACTCCTGCCACAGCCTCAGGAGCTACGGTAGTTGGTAATTACCCTATTTTAGAAGTGAAGACACTGAGGCTCAGGGAGGTTTATGAACTTACCTGAGGTCATGCATCTACTAGGTGGGGAAGCTGGGACTTGAACCCCAGGTTTATCAGACTCCAGCCTGGGCTCCTAACTACTTCCATGCCTGTGCTCACACATCTTACATGATTCCGCCTTACTCAGCACCTACCTTTCTGACCACTTACCATGAGCCAGGCCCTGCACCTAGGATTTCCCATCCAGTATCACAACAGTCTTGTGAGGAAGAGAGTATTAACGTGCCCATTTTACAGACGAGGAAACCGCTGAGGGAGGTCCAGTGACTTGCCCCTGTTCTCATAGCTAGTGAGTGAGAAACCGGGACTTGAACCCAGGGCCTTCTGATTCCCCCTCCTGTGGTGCCCCTAGCATGTGGCTTCTCTCTGTCTTCCTCTTGGTGTCCCACAAACCCCAGCCCCCATCCCACCACCAGCCACTCCTTCTCTCAAGAGCTCCTTCTGCCTGCCTCAGCTCTGTGCTCCTGGGGGCCCCTCCTCTGTCCCAGGCAGAGTAACAGCTGCCTCTTTGGTGCCCCCACAGCTAAGCTTTGCTCATCACTTCATCCGGAACCTCAGCTCCCTGGACAATCTGGCTCTCCCACTGGTCCCAAAGTTAGTCAAAGTAGTGACAGATCTAGCTCTGTGTTCCAGGGTTTGGTGAAGTGTTTTGTGTTGGCACTTCGCCCATGTGGCTGTGACATCCATTGGTAGCTCTTAAATGAGGAGAAGAAGTGAGGAGCTGAGGGAATCCTTTGTTAAGGAGGGCCTAAAAGATGTCAGTGGGATGGCTGAGTCTAATGGGGGCCAGCACATGTGTGTTTGTATGCGGGAGAGTGTCCGGGAGTTGGGGAGCATGAACAGGACAGAGAGGCTCTGCACCCAAGACAGCTAGGGCACACTTCTTCATACAGGGTCTCCTCTAACTCAGGACTCACAAGGGCAAGGCCACAATCTTTGTCTCATCTCCCCTGCCTCCTGGGCCCTTGCCTTCCAGATGTCCCACCCTGATATGCAAACAGCACTTCTCCAAGCCTCCCAGGGTGTCCCAGACCTCCCAACGCTCCCGCCCGGCTTACATGGTCGATGAGCTCCTTGATCATGCCGTTCCACTGGCCCTTGTCGTCCTGCGCCCCATACTTGCCATCCTCTACCAGCCGGATCTCGTAGGAGAAGCCCAGGATGTGGGCCAGTTCCTTGAGCAGGTCGATGCAGTACCCCTCAAACCGGTCATTCCCGTACAGGGTCCTATCAGACTTCCGGAACATGACAAAGGGCTCCTCCTGTAGGAACAGATGGGAGAGGGGCTGATGAAGGCCGGGGGTAGGGGTGGGTAGGGACAGGCCCAAGCTGGAGAGTTTGAGCCGAGACTTCTCCTCATGTTTATAAACAAAGATTTGGGGCGGCTAAGATGAATGGCCTGCTAAGTCAGGAGAGAGAAAACGTATTTCCTGAGAGCCGACTTTGTGTCTCACAAATGGTCACCTACCGGCAGTCCCTGGCATAAGGTAGGGGTCATCGCCGATTTCACTGTCCATTGGTCGATAGCTTACAATGGCTGGTAAGTGACAGTATAGGAATTTGAACTCGGGGCCGTCTGATTCCACAGTCCACGGTCTTTCTGCTGCACCAGTAACATAGGCCAGCAGTTCTCAAAGTTTGGGCTCTGGACCAGCAGCATCAGCATCATCTGGGAACTCGTTAGAAATGTATGTTCTCGGGCCTCACCCCAGATCTTATGAACCATAAACTCTGTGGGTGGGGCCCAGAAATCTGTTTTAAGAAGCCTCCAGGAGATTCTGATGCAAACTTAAGTGTATAAACCAGTGCTGTAGAAGGTCCACCATCAAGCATCTTCCCTGACTTCTCTACCCACTCCTAAAGATTCGATCTACATGCTCCCTGATAGCTTTCTCTCTTTCCAAGGATCTCCTCAACCCTCTGAGTTAGGATCTGCCAGGTGAGTGATGACTGTCACCAATGATAGCTTACATTTACTGAGCAGTGCCATATGCCAGTACCAGTAACTGTTGCTGTCTAGTCGATTCTGACTCATTGTGACTGCATGTGCATCAGAGTAGAACTGTGCTCCATAGGGTTTTCAGTGGCTGATTTTTGCAAGTAGATCACCAGGCCTTTCTTCTGAGGCACTTCTGGGTAGACCTGAACTGCCAACCTTTCAGTTAGCAGCCAATCTCATTAACCATTTGTACTACCCAGGGACTCCTGCCATGTGCCAGGCACTAGTAAATTGGCAAATGAGATAATGCCTGGAAAGGACGAGCTCAGAGCCCACAGAGCAACAGTGCTCAACAGACAGAGTTAGTGCTGCCTCATTTAATTTCACCCCTTTGGGTCAGGTATTGCATCCCATTTTATGCATGCAGAAAGTAAAGGGCAGAGAAGACAAGTGACTTGTGCAAGCTCACCCAGTTGGTGTAGAGAGAGGATTTGAACCCAGGGTGCAAGCTCTTAACCACTTGCCCTGTGCCCAGAGGCTCTGAGTTGCATCCTGCCTCTACCTGGTGGGCAGGGGAGCCTTGGGAAGGTAGCTTGTGGGGATAGAACACAGGAGTCAGCTCTCCCACCTCAGGCTCCCAGGTGATGGGGAATTGACGAAGGGCTTTGAAGGGAGGCACGCCTCTGATTTCTCATGTAGAAACATACCCCTAGAAACCCTGCAAAGAATAACCAGGAGAAAAGGCAGGAAAACCAGCTGGAAGAGAGATGGACCTCGTCCAGTCTGAGATACATGGTGGGATGGACTGTGCGTTCTGACGCTGGAAAATCCAGGCCCACAGCCCATTCCAGAATTCATGCCAACATGCAATTCCATGTTCTGCTGGCTGTATCCATCCAGCTTCACTTACAACCCAGTCCCGAGTCCCAGCCCTTAGCAAACTCAACACTTGTTGAGTTCCTACTCCGCATCAAGAACTGATAAAAACGCTTTCTCACAGGCTGCTTGATTTAAGCCTCATGAGCTTGCAAGACAGGTGACATCATCCCCATTTAACAGATGAGAAAACTGAGGCCCAGAGAAGATCAGTCATTGGCCCAATTCCAATACATCACAGAAAACTGGCACCTCTGGGTAACTTCACTTTCTTCTCTTGTTAGGAACTGAATTGTTTCCCCCCAAAATGCGTGTTGGAATTCTAACCCCTATACCTGCGGATATAACCCCTTTTGGGAATAGAGTTTTCTTTGGTATGTTAACGAGGTCATGTCAGTGTAGAGTGTATCTTAAAACTAATTACTTTGAGATATAAAGAGCAAATTAGGCACAGAGACAAGCAAGCACAAACGAGGGAGAGAGAGATACCACGTGGAGATCGCCAAAGAGCCGAGGAATGCTGGGGCTAGAAAAGCTGACACAAGGATTTTCCCCCAGAGCGGATATACAGTCTTCCCCCAGAGCTGGTGCCCTGAATTTGGACTTCCAGCTTCCTCAACTGTGAGAAAAGAAATTTCTGTTCACTGAAGCCACCCACTTGTGGTATCTCTGTTACAACAGCACTAGCTAAAACATCTCTGTTCCCTGGGGTCAAACTCTCCTGAGTTAATCTGTTCTTTTAGACATCAAACTAAGGTCAAGTTCAAGAGCGGTCAACCCAGCACCTGCTCCTGGACAACTCTAGTCTTCTATTGACTCTTCTGGCCTCCTTCCTCAGCCCCTTGTCCTGTTCCTGTCTGTAGCTCCTCTGTCTCTTCCTGTCAGCCAACCTTCGCCAAACCCAAATCTGCACCCCCACGTGTCAGAATGCCTCAAGTCTTCAGCTAATGGGTGACAATCATCAGCTGACAGAATGCATGCATGCTGGGACACTCATGTCCACAATAAGGCACAACGTAATGATGGAGGCGTCTCATCGTTCTCTCAATTGGTTGAGACATTGCCCTGGCATCATGGGCCCTGGGGGTGAGGCGAGCACTGGAAGGCCCCAGCAAAGACCCTTATCAGAGGTCCTCAGGGGCAGAAACCTGCCAGAAGCCTCTTGCCAGGCTCCCAAACTGGCAGGCTGTCTCGATTCTCTGGAACCTGTTCCTCAACAACGCTACTTCTCAAAATGCCATCCCACCACGTGACTGATTTACTCCAGATTTTCAACAGTCCTTTGGGATGCTTCAGAGAAAGAGCTGGGGAGAGTCTGAGTTCCCAAGGGCTTTCCAGCTCTCCAGGGATTCTGAGAAAATCACTTCTCAGTCTAATTGGGTGGAAAGCTGGATTCTTTGGCTAGACTCCATGTTAAATCTCAGCATCCCCATCTCCATCTCCTAAAAAGTCGGCAGCTCAACAAGGGAGCAGAGAGGAGTCCAAGTGGGGCCTGGAAAAGGTGCTGAGACTACCTGGAGGAGAGGGGACTTTGACTAGTCCAGATGCTGCCCTCATGCAAATTAGTCCCTGGGCAGATACCGTCCCATGTCCCTGCATCCCGGCACACGGTTTGGCAGGCAGGCCTGGGTAAGATTTCACTCCCAGCTCATCCTTTTGGTGGGATGTTCTTGTGCAGTGAGCAAGCTGCACAACTGCACCTCGTGGCCCTCACTTTAACTCAAAGACAGAACTGCCAAGAAGGCACCATCTTTCCAAGGGGCACCATCAACCACAGGTGGATTCCTAGACCAAGTCTATTTCCTTCTGTAAAATGGGGATAACAGAATCTATCTCATAGGGTTGTTTGAAGATTAAATGGAGTCTTTCCAGGAAAGCATTTAGACCCGTGCCTAGCAAAGTGTAAGCACTCAATAAACGTTATTGTTGTTAAGTGCCTTCGAGTCTATTTCGACTCATAGCATCCCCACGCGACACAGTAGAACCGCCCCATAGGCTTTTCTAGGCTATAATCTTTACAGGAGCAGATCGTCAGGTCTTTTTCCCGTGGAGCTGCTGGGTGGGTTCAAACTGCTAACCTTTCAGTCAGCAGCCATGCGCTACTAGGGCTCCTTCAATAAATGTTAGCTGCCATCATTATTATTATTACTATTATTAAACCAAAAGAAACAAACCCATTGCCATTGAGTCAATTCCTACTCATAGAGACCCTATAGGACAGAGCAGAACTGCCCCACAGGGTTTCCAAGGAGTGGCTGGTGGATTCAAACTGCCCACCTTTTGGTTAGCAGCCAAATGCTTAACCACTGCACTGCAAGGGCTTCATTACTATTATTATTGCCATTAATATCATCATCATCTTCTTCTTCTTCCTGTGTGCTGATTGGCCTGTTAACTGTAATGACCTTTCCTACCTAGAAACCATGCCCAATGTCACCAAGGACAAAAATCATGGTGAGCAGCAGAAAACCATTTTGGGAAAGGTCCCCGAGACAGCTCACTTCCTGACCTCCTCTCCACACCCCTCCCTGCCCCTACCCTCTAAAATTAGCACTTCATTTGTGAAGCTACCACAGCCCCAGAATCTATACATCTCCATATAAATACGCTGCCTTCGGAGCAGCTGTAAAATGCCATTAATTTCAGGAAGTGCTTTGCGGATGGCATACATATTTAACAGCCAAAGCCCAGAGCATTAAAATGGTGTTCGCCTTAGTAATGTGTCTCTAGACCTGCAACATTTCCTAGGGGGTAATTCTGAACTCCGCCAACTACTTATTCATGGACTGTTTCACAATTTATTACTGGAAATTTCCAGACAGCTAATTCACAAGCCCTCTCGGCTGCTAATCGATTGCTCAGTGAAGGTGCCCTCAATTTCATAACTTCACGCTCTCCTATCACTCTGGGAGAACGGCCGTCGTAGTAGGGGTAATATTTCTCTTCAACAAGTCACAGAAAACAGGGGTCCAGAAAAATAACCTTTTCCGACTTTTCATTGCCAAGCCTCTTGGTCTGGTTGCTCTGTGATCACCTATACCAATATACAACCCGGTTCTAAGGTGCAGCTTCCCCCAGCACAAGACCTGTGGAGTTGGAAGAGGGAGTCTTGGAATGTTATCCCCAAGTGCAGAAGGATTCAGGGGTTAGCTACGTAATAGGTGTTTTCCAAGCCCTGGTTCTGACTTCTGCAATACCACGTGGCACGCATGCACTCACATGCACACACATGTATACACAATGCTACTGGCACACAAATACACCACACTCCTGGAGGTTCTGTCTGCTCAGACATAGAGGCCAAAGATGCTGGACCCAAGGCCTTGGCTCCTCCCAGTAGAACAAGACCCACCTCCCAGCCGTTGGGGTCTAGAATGGCCCCCGGTCTGAGATGGCCTCTCTCAGCCCAGGTCCCGGCCTTTCTTAGCTTTGTCCTTTCTCTTGCTT